TTTCTTTTTCCTCCAACAACTGTTGTAATCTCTCTTGTTTATTTTGCTGTTCGAGCTGCCATTGTTGTAGGTTTTCTTGCCACTGCTTTTGTCGTTCTTTTTGTTTATTTTCTTTTTCCTCCAACAACTGTTGTAATCTCTCTTGTTTATTTTGCTGTTCGAGCTGCCATTGTTGTAGGTTTTCTTGCCACTGCTGTAATCTTTCTTCTTGTTTATTTTCTTTTTCCTCTAACAACTGCTGTAATTTCTCTTCTTGTTTCTTTTCTTTTTCCTCCAACAACTGCTGTAATCTCTCTTCTTGTTTAATTTCTCGTTCTTCTTGTTTCTTTTCTTTTTCCTCTAACAACTGCTGTAATCTCTCTTCTTGTTTAATTTCTCGTTCTTCTTGTTTCTTTTGCTGCTCTTGTATTGCTGCCATCAAGTCTGCTAAGTTGTAGTTTGATTTTCCGCCTCTCGTTTCCATTTTTTTTTCGTCCACTTCTGACACCAATTTGTTACGTCTCCGTTTGTTAATTAACTTTCCGTAACTTCGTTCCGACGAAACTTTAGCGACACAAGTTCTTTACTTAATAAAACTGGTTTATTCTTTCCGAATATAACTTTACGATACACTTAATTTCAATATTCGCGCTAAAACAAACACTATAACGAAGGAACGTTAACTTCAACAATACCCTGTGACTGCAGTTCAATTACTCACTATCTACACACACCTTACATTATTCTCCCGTCACGTTGTCACCCTCTTTTATATACCACACTACCCTATAGCTAGTAACTACTAGAGCATTCGCCAAGGTACGGGATAGTTCTAGAAACGTGGCGTCACACTAGTCATGTGACTCGCTGACGAAACAACGTGTTCAGCAAAGAACAACAATGTCGAGTTTATTACTTTTAAGAAGTAAACTTGAGTGTTAATACTTATTTGTATTGAATACGCTTTTTTGCTTCATTTTATAACCCAGACATAAATAAGCTATTCGTTAAAATGCTGACGTTTGTCTCATGCTTACCTTCAACTGTCTGACTTATTCCTTTTGGAATTTTAGGAGGCATTTTGAATCCAGATTTCAACGCAGCCTTCCAAACTAGATAGAAAATAAAATAATGAAGCAATATGAGTTTTATCAACTGAAAAATAAATGTCAAGAAATCCATATATACCGTGAAAATCACAATGTGGCTTGAGCTGTTAATAACCGTAGAATTACTAATTAGGAACCCATCGACTTTGTAACTGCATTTAGTTACGTGTAACATATGAGACAAAAAAATAGAAAGAACAAAAAATACCACCAAGTGCTGCTGAGGTCCCCTATGTATTTTACATATAATTTCACCCAATTTTGTTTGTTCAGTTGTTTACACAACTGTTGCAATAAACAGAAACATAAAATTACTTAATATGGTGTAATAGTTGGTCCACGTAGTGATATAAAAACAAGTCGATAATTTGAGGGTTAATATACGCCAGGGATTTAGTTTACAGATGTGAAAAGCTACATTTGGCTTGGGTTGCTAATCTTGCTGGTTGTAAGACAGTGTGTATGTGTGGGGTGGGGGTAAGTTATCCAGTAGATTATTATTTACTTGAACTTTAAACGAAGGGTAAAGATTAAAAAATGACAGAAAATGTATTAGCTATTCTAATACATGAAGTAATGGGTTTGTTTCATTGCAGTTTCAAATTCTCCAATAAATACCAAGTGTCTGAAATCCTAGTAACCAAATAAAATTACGTTAAATTTTAACATGTGCCACTTGCACTCATTAGAAAATATCAAAAATATGATTTTTTCTCTTCCCAGAGTTACCAAGAGGACAAGTCTGGCATGGTCTGGTAGCTCGGACACTGGACTTGCAAAATCAAACTGACCCCCCCCCCCCCCGAGCATGCTTGTCTTTTCAGCCGTTGAGGCATTATAATTTCACGGTCAATCTCATTATTCGTTAGTAAAGAGTATTACAACAGTTGGCAGTAGATGGCGTTATCTAGTTGCCTTTTCTCTAGTATATTTCTTCAATAGCTCTCGAATAATTTTACTCGAAATTCAACAAAACAAAACACGAGGATAAACTGGAACTATTAATAAGCGAACTACTGAATAAACGTAAAAGGAAAGGTTATCTTGTATACCCTACATTTCAATAATGATGTGACTGTGTGGTATGCAGGAATACCATGCACTTTCTGCCTTTTTGTTTTAATACAGGAATTTTTCAAACATTTTAATTTTCGCATAACAAGTGGTTGAAGATGGAGGTTTTTATTGCAAAACTACACAATGGACTATCTGCGTTCCGTCCACACCGAAGAATTGATCATCAGATGTTAGCGTTGTAATCCGGAAACTTACAGCTGACCCACCGGGGAACAACACGTGATGGAGAAAACCAGTAAGTTGATTTCTTTGTAGCTGCCTCTGTTCTTTGTCGTTCACTTGAAGATAACACTTGGTCTACCAATGAAAAAGTGACGTTGAGCATGAAGATCGACACCAGTGTTAGGTCAGGGATATCTCAATGTTTAAACTTCTGTTATCTTTTAATCGGGCCAACAAGTTATTTAGGCAGCACTAGTCACTCTGAGTAAACCTGAGGTTACCGATCCAAGTAAGCAACGTGAGATTTAAACAGTGTTTCCCAACCGCCGGGGCCCGACCCGGTATAGGAGGGAGGTGAAATATTCAAACGATCTACCGGAGCGCAGTAGTTTTTGGGTTGGAAAACACTGCTCTAGAACATTATCTTGAGTGAATTGGTCAGTTTGGAAATAAGTCTTGTGGAAGTTTAGCCAGCCTGATCAATACACAACTCTGGTAAAGGTGACTGTCCAGAGTCCAACACAAGTACACACATTGTGTTTGTGAAATTGATAAATATTATGTCCACAGTGCATCACACTCTCATGCCTAATCCCTTTACTTTGAAGCACAGACTCAGTTGGTTTTAGCAGAGCTCAGTATTACTTCGAAACTTGCCCTGCTGAGCCTCCCGTTATACATAGGTTCTACCTAATTTACTCTTTTGGGAAATCAACTTACCACAACTAACTTCAAGGGCCACTGCTACTTATAGCTGTCACACACACACGTTCTAGTCAGTAAATATTGTTCACTTACTGCTAAAAATATAAAAAATCACTAGACCGGCCGTGCAAATAGCGATAAGTTGCTATTACTCCGCACAAAACCCAATTTATAATTTTTCTAGAAGGCTAAAGCTAATCACGAACCGAACAACAAACAGTTAAACAAGAAATTAAAAAATATGAAAAAGTTTTGCTAAGTAAATGAAACTATCTATATATTCGTCATTACTGAATGTAGCAGATACATTCTACTTTACTTTCACTATTAAGTTCGTCCAATACGTACTATCACGCTCTCTGTTGGATGAAACGTGAAAACACAAAAATAAGGTTAGTAAAGGATAAATATGATACAAAGAATGTGCATTAATTACACAGGATGTAAAATAGACGTGATGGCAAGAGTTATTAAGTTTTTATTAGATTTTCATTTGAGTATAGAATATTAATTAGTCTAGATTGCCTATATCTTAGGTTTTCTTAAATATTTTGAATGTTAGTTTGGTATTTTTAATTGTTGTTGTTTGTTATTAACAGCAAAGCTATAAAACTGTTATATCTGCTTTGCCAACCACGGGTATCGAAACCCGGTTTTTAGCAATATAAGTCCGCAGACATTCCGCTGTGTCACTGGAGCCTATTTTTAATTGATTTCAAAGATTGTGTGATTATATTAAATTTTCAATTGTTTTAGTGATTATAAGAATTTCCCTCAAGACTTTATGAGTTTAGTTTTTAATTGGTTTAATGATTTCAAAGCTTACTTTTTAAATTTGTTATTCAAAAGAAAAATAATTTTGAAATTATTTTAAGTTTAATTTTGACTTTGCTTATCTATTTTTTATATTTCCATTATATTTTGTCCACCGATGGGACAGTGATAAGTCTACGAAGTTACAACATCAAAATTCTGGTTTCGATTCTCCGCGGTGGACACAGCAGATAGCCCAATGTGGCTTTGCTCTAAAACAATCAAACATCTATACTTTAGAATTTTTAAAATTTAACTCTTAAATACAAATGACATTAATTTTAGAATTATTCTCCGATTAAGGTTATAAAATAGGTCTATACAATTTTAGATAAAATAAAAGAAAGAAATTACAAATTAAAGACAATGGGGCTGCCTTATTAATGAGATAACCACTAAGAATTATTTGAATATTTTATAAATAAGGTAAGCTACCAGTAGGTTGGTAGGGCACCACCATGAATTCACCACAAAAATAATCCATAATTAATGCAACAAGCCCGAGACAACCACAATGTAATTTTTCTAACTTTCTGTGAAGCACCTTTATACAATAAATAGAAAGAGTTACAACTCAATCTTCCTGTTCCAAATCATTCCTTATAAACAGACATAACACTAACAAGGAAAATTATTCCAAAGAAAGCATGAAACTGCCAAAAATGCGGTCATATTCAGTTATTTTAACTGTGCTTTAACAGTAGGTAGATGGAAAAGGAATTAAAATCTGAACTGCCTAAACCGAAACAATCATGTAAACAAGCAGGCGTGGAAAGGTTTGTTTGTTTGTTGTTAAGTGCAAAGCTCCACAATGGGTTATCTGTGCTGTGTCTACCACGGGCATCAAAACGGAGCTCATGAATCTTGATTGAATCCAACTCTACTGGTGTCGAGGAAAACAAAAATCACTACCTGTACTAATGTGAAATATTGGCCTAGTTGCTACAAATTTATCACTCTTCTGAAACTTGCTGCAATCCAGAACCGCTCGATGGACCTTAAGTCTATAACTTATAACTGTAATAAAAGTTCAGGCCAGCTGGTACTACGATTTGTCAAGGTAGACCTATGCTACAGGATTTCAAGTACGGTTTGAAGCCGAGCTGCTAGTCACAGCTATGAATGTAAGGCTTCACTCATCATGGTAACTGGTGACTCGAAATTGATGTTCACAACAATGGAAAGTCTCTGCTCCCTGTTTGCTTAAGATAGACATTGTCATCTTAACCATGAAGATTTATGTAATGGTGTGTACTTGTTTCAACTGGTTTAGACTTAGTTAATAATTATAGTAACTGAGAAGTGAATGGCTTGTCACACTGCAACATTCTATATAATTGCATACTACCTGTATTGATGGAACTCTATAGACGAGTTTTGTCACACTACAAGCTGGGCCCAGTAGTGATTTTAGTTAAACACTAGTTATATTTAAAAACAAATGTCGATCAAACTTGTAAAAAATGGTTTTGAAAAGTAAAACATTTGCTACATTGATACCGTTAAGTGAATCTCTAATCTCACCTAATTGATGTCCGTCTTTTTGATATGGGTCCAAAACGTCGAGACTATCTTTGTCCTTGTTCATCAAGTTAGACATCCCGTACAACACAAGATTTTTCTGGCAATCTATAAACCAAAATATCAGAGTTTAAAGTATATTATTTAAACTTGCATTTTCAGCTGTTACAAAGTATCAGATAAACCAACGGTGAGACATTTTTTGTTAAACTTACACACAATGACATGTGAGACTTAACCTTTTTATGGCGTGTGATTTAATTATGATTATAATTTCAATCAGGTTTAGAAAAAAACGCTTTGGCGGCCCATGTATAAATGATAAGGCAATCATTTAAAACTACGTGTTTTTATATTTCATAATCTGAGTTTCGATTGCAACCTTCTCTCAGAGAAGGACTAATTGAACATTGTTTATTTGTCAAACGTCGCGAAAAGCTACTCGAGGGCTATCTTCGTTAAACATAATTAATTTAGAAGTGATAAATTAAAGGGAAATCAGCTAGTTAACTGCTTTGTTTGTTTTGAATTTCGCTCACAGCCACACGAGGGCTATCTGCGCTAGCTGTCCCTAATTTAGCAGTGTAAGACTAGAGGGAAGGCAGCTAGTCATCACTAGATTTAATATTAATTTTGCGTTCTAAAATTTGGAAATTTCTTATCGTTATACAGTCTTGTTTAATTTCTTAGAAGTCCGAGAAAAAAATAACTAATTAATTTACGAAAAAATAAACAAAATGAAAGACAATTCACACACAAAGTAAACTTTAAATTAATATTACTTTATGCGTCAGGGTAAAATTTCACAATCGACTAAATGTACATCATCTACTATAGAAGTCGCACCCTGAAATCTTAAGTTCTCAAGTTTACTGTCGAATCAAAGAGGGACTTAATTGGAATCTATAAATTTTCTAAACTGGTGGCCTTTCTTGCATTCGTAAATTCTGGATTGTTACGTCACGTATCACGGTAACAAGGCCGCGAGGTTCGTTCAAACTTAATAAGGATCTTACACCCACGTACAAATAGAAAAAACAGGTGATTCCACCTTGTATTATAAAGACGTAAAAAAAGATATATCTCTTCTGCGTGCCCGAAGAAAGGTGAATAAGTCATTGGTGTGTTGTGTAAGTCATTTATTTGTATCTGAAAGCTATGTTGGAGTCAATACGCTAACTAGCAGATAATGCTTTATATTCAATTTTAAGACTAACCTCGTCAGTCGGCAAATATTTTCTTTAGAATCATCGATCTATTTCATTACAAGTGAAACACGTTTAAGAAAAATTTAAAGTGTAGGAATGGGTGCACCAAAAAGGGAAAAAGCAAGGTAGGAATGGGCATGGTGTAATAAAATTTCCTCTGTGCAACCTCACTAAGGGGCAAGTCCAACATCCGGTCCATGCCCACTTCGTTTATTTTTTCTATCCTGTATACAATAAGCCAGGTAGATTAATATTATCAAAATTAGTTATGCTTATCATACAATGACTAGAGATTTCTGGAGGCAAAACATGTACTGTAAAGACTGTTTATACGACACCAGAAGAACCAGATATTCGTGTGGACCCATAACTTTACAGCTTGCCCCTTCTTGTGCAATTGCATGAGAAAGCAACAGGAGTTCGTACATTAGCTATATAAGTGGATTAAGATACAAATATGAAAAATCCTAAGAGGTTTCTGTATATCGACGTCATGAATTCGTTACTGTCTATACAAAAGTAGAAGAATCATAGACACACTTTTGTATGTACCCACATATTGTATAATATCATTAACATAAAAACACGAAGTAGCCTTGGACCGGAAGTTGGACATGCCCCATTGTAAGGTTGCACAGAGGACGTTTTATTACATCATGCCCATTCCAACCTTGTTTCCTCACTTTTTGGTGCACCCATTCCTATACTCTCAGTTTAAAAAAAAATTTTTTCCACTTGTTCATGCACTTTATTACAAGGTGACATGATCTTATGCATCATTCATTCGTGTTGATATCCTTTATGTATATCATCAGTTAGGGTGTGCACATTGTGAGTGTGTATGTATTTTGTCCATGTGATAGCATAAACTCTATAGTGTGCAGTGTGATTTGGGTGATGTATTGTAAGTTCTGGTTGTGTGCATATACTAAGGGTTGATAAATTAGTTAACTAATTTAAGTAACTACTTCACACTAGCACGTGGTCCCTGTGCTATTGTTCTTTTTTGTGCACTTATAATTATGGTAAATCTGTTTGTTACACAACGAGAGGCGTTTAACAATGTAAGTCAATCAGTGAGATTGAGAAATATGTGGTTTTGTGATTTTTTTATATCTACTCTGCTGAATTTCTCAAGTGCTTCTATGACTTGTAATTTTGTATGTGGTTTGTTTATCACCAAAGGGTATCTCTCAAATACTTTTGAAGACTTACTTTTGGTTGTTAAAGGTGTATATGCTTAAACAGTGTGTATTGTGTATCAGCCCCATTCCTGCTATAAATACTACCGTACGTATGATAAGCTTCCACAGCTATGTGTCTAAGAATTAATTAAATTATTCATTATCAGGTTTACTAACTTAAGAAATAATTGCATTAATTAATTATAATAATATTTTAATGTTATATTGAATTCAGCCAACACCCGCTGGATTGATGTTACAATTTAAAAGCTCCATAAAACTATCTCATGCTTGTAATATTAAAAACAAAAGCCCTAATTTACATCCTTTTATGTTACCGCTTAGAATTCACTCAAAACGGATATGATTTTCATACTAAGGCTGCTTACATCGGATATGTTCTTATTTTACAACAAACTGAACTTGTAAGCCTCATATTGTTATATTGAATACAACCAATAATATTACTAACAATAGATGTACGTTTTATTATTCCAAATATACAAAAATAAGTTTAAACATAGGGTTCTTTCAATTATATTCTGAGGTTTAATCGCATCTTGTAAAGAACAATGTTTCAGCCTCCATGCTGCCCTTGGAACTACTTCATTCACTATAGATTAACGTAGTCTGATATTCATAATTACGTACTATTGTCTGACGCCTTAATTACCATCCCATCAAATTTATCCGAAGGATGGTGACGTCCGTCTTAATTATTTATCTTATAAGAAACTTTCGCAGATCCTCCACTTTACCTTGACACATGCTTCCAATACCAAATTTAAGCAGACCCATTAAACAAATCAATTAGAGCCTCATATTTGACAGTATGCAGTAAAATAGGATTGTTGTGATTCCAGTTTCTTGGATTCTTATTTTTTGTGAACCATATATATTGGTGCTAAACAGTTGCTCGTGGTGTCACAACTCGTATCCGCAGCAACATTCTATTGAACACTTAATAAAATGTGATTAACTTTCTGAAAGAGAAAGGACAGACTGCGAAAGCGCTTACCAAAAAGGAATACATACTATGGTTCTACGTTAGTAGTTTGTTTAAACATAATTACGAGAAGTGAAGCTTTTTAAATACGTATCGCAGTTATAATCTACTTGTATATACAGTATATAGAGTAACTTTTAATGTGTATTCGACAACTCTTAAAAAATACAAAAAACTGTAAACAGGGGGCAGTGTCATGAAACATAAAATTAATTAGTTTTAAATATAATTTTTTCTACCTTGATGTTAAATCACACCATTTATAATGCACGTCCAACAACACTTCCATTTTTTAGATTGTTTCATCCTAGATGTAATTTTTCCTTTCTCTTGGGTTAACAATCTCTTCTTCAACTCTTTCCAAAACTGATTACGATATAATTGTCATAAATCGTGGCTACTTGTAAACACACTGCAATGGATTTATATCACTAATCACATGCCAGAAATACAGTTCCGACTTAATATATTACTTTATCTTTTGTTATATATAATAGATATATTTAACACGATTAAGACGCTTCCTCAGTTTGTGTATCTTTTGACTTTTTGTTAATAATTTTAGCCATAGTTGAAATAAAACTTAAAAACAAGTTAGTTGAAAATAGACCAATACGTTATAAACATTTTGCAACCAAACTAACAGATCTTACAAATAATCAAATTAAGATGACATAACAAATGGAGAAAAAATAAAACTCATAAAATATGTGAAATTTTGTCCCTTAATTTAGAATAAATCCAATATATATTTGTAACAATTCACGTTATACGCAAGGAAACTTGATTATTTTTCTGTAATTTCCTATTAGCGACTTAAGACGTATTTGTAAATGCATAATGTGAATTTAAATTCAAGCCCGTAGCCTGGGGGTTCTTTCGAATCCCCCCCCCACTACGACTGGAGTTCCGCTCGTCTATTAACGCCCCCCAGCGGCACAGCGAGAGACTTCTTGAGCCTACAGATATTCCATTGTGTAGCTTTGTGCTTAAATACAACCAAACTTTTGGCTTTTTTTTTATATATACATGAAAATAATGATCAGTGGTCGTTAAAACATTGGTCAGTTTGACATTATCGCTGATGTATTTAATTTTACCAATTACAAACAGCTTAACGTTCCAGCAGCATACACCCTTGACTAGTGTTTATAGAAGTTTTATAAATCATTTTATTTTAAATAGGTAGAAGAGGAACTATTTCTACGTCAGCATTTACAAGTGAATATAAACGTATTGAAACTAGTTTGCTTTGTCCAAGGTAACATCAATACCTTAAAAACGCGGCCAATATTGTAAGAAAACACTATGTTGTGTATTACAAGATTTTAGAGATCTTGTTTCTTTTAATTAATTATTACTAATTATTAATTATTATTAATATAGGTAAATGGGAGAAAAAAACTTTTTAAACCTTTTCTCAACTTACCTGGAATATGCGAATCTTTACAGTACTGACCAACTAGGTGAACCAATATGTACGTTAGCCGACCCATCTAGGAGACAAAAGAAAACCTTTAGTGAGATTTTATTATACAAGTGTATGTATTATTGTATATACGGTATACTGGGTTGGAATATTTTGGATTAGGTTTTAATACTTGACACTGCAAGTTCTTAATAGCTAGAAATTGTTATATAAATTGCTCAATGCTAAAATTAATATTCAGGCAATGTTGTGTAATATCAAATGAAACTTTACAAGTATAAAACATCTTATATATTTAATTGCCACAATGAAAAGTCTAGTTGATGTTACGATGTCATTTATCTTTAATTAGATTTGTTTGTTGTTGAAAGTTGTACACTTGTAAAATAATGGATTAATAAAATATTGTAACGTTTCAAAGCCCCGCTTAAAATATGTTCATTACCAAAGTTTTTGACTTGAAGATACATTTTTATAATAAAGTGAACCACGATCCAAAAAAGTTGTTTCTATAGATGGTAAAATCGAATTAAGAAATGTGACTGAGTAGTCTAAACATAATAGAAAATGTGTAGTGATTTCAAAAAAGAATCAAAGTTAGTGAAATTTAATTATATAGATCAGTGGCTTTTGGACTACGAACCGCGAAACTGTTTTAGGCGAACTTCAGCGCATGTAAAAATATTACCCGTCTGTCACCAAACAAAGCAACATTTTCAGCAAGAATTGTATTTATTGCAGGAAATATGACTACACAACGTTGTTTATGATGCTTCAGATTATTTTGTCACAGTAGAAATTGTAATGAAAGTAAGGTTCTTCACAGTGACCATTATTCAAAATTTCTATTTAATCATTGGGTGTCTTAAGGTCTTTGTAGGTCTCAAGCTAAACAAGTTGGGAAACCTGATGAAGAGAATTTATTTTAGGCTATTATGACTTAAAATTCATTAAAATTTATCTAATACTTTTAAAGCCAGGATAGTAATGTTCAGAAACACGAGGGGAAAACTAATTTTGCATAATACAGGTGTTGTCAACTCATTTACACAATCTAAAGGTTGTCAATATGAATATTCGCAGGTTAATATTTTTCTATTCTGTTTTTCTGTCTATGTCTGCTAGAATAACGACACTTCGTTTCGTAAATTAAACGGGTCTTCAACTCGTTCTGCATCGTAACAAATAGAGAAGACACTTTGAAAAGGAGATGCTAACTCGTTTCATGTCTAGAAACCACCAGTTAGTTAACCCTAACGACAGGGTTTCTAACCTCTGTCAAAGTATTACAGAAGGGACCGCTTTTATTACTCACGTCCAAGACAACCTGAATCGTAATGGTGTCTGTCGAAAGAGGTCGACCTTTGATTGAAAAAGAAGATGATGCGAAACACGGACTTGTGAGTTTGTTTGTGTTCCGCCATGGTTGAAAGTGTTTAGTGCTATTTTGCTGCTATTTTGTTTGCTTTCTTTCAGTTTTATGGGTGGTTGGGGGTGGGAGTGAAGTGAGATTTAAAGAAAAAATACCCAAATAACTACAATCCTAGAATTATTAGCGAGATGTAGGTTAAATTATGGAAGCGTCAAATTTATATCTCGAGTTCAGTAGGTCATCTTTAAGTAGAATAAGTCTGGTGATACCTATATGCTAATTAAGCCGTATGTTATTATAAAATAGGCCCATATTGGGCTTTGGGTCATTAGGCTGTCGTCTTGACGCCTTCACCTCATTCCGGAGATCTATGACCTCGTTTTGGTAAAGAGCTTGGTTGTGGCAGGACGTCGTTATTTATTTTTTTTTCTTGTCGGCATAACGGATGAAGTATACTTTCATTTAATGAAAAAACAAATCTGGAAATTCCAGTAAAATAAAACACAACATAATAAGAAAAAATGATTTACACAAAAGTCTCGAATACAAATAAATGGAAAGAGTTGTTGATATGTTTAATTTCGAATATAAATAACAGAAATAAGTTAACATTATACAAGTAACATTCCTACGATAAGTGATTGTTAACAAATGATACTTAGTGCCCTTTTACACGGACATTAGGTTGTATAACCTAATTAATGACTGAACATATTTTTTAATAAAAGAAATTTAATTTTACAAATTAACTTAAACAATGATTTCTTCGCTATCGAAAGTTACAAATGGCCATTTACGATGAACTTCACAGCTGAAGGCTGGATTTAATGAGACGAACTTCCAATCCTTCATTTTTTGAATAATTGGTTTTTGATATTAAATAATACCATAAGTGTCAATTTAGCTAAAAATATAAGATAGAATTAGGGGGTGAGCTAATTTATTGTTAATGTTCAATGCAAGAAAAAAAATAAATATATATATATATATATATAAGTTAGACTAGGTGGCGCAGGATACCATATTATATGTAGATTGAAAACATCATATAATTAACTTTAGAAAGCTTAGCAAAATAATATCCACAGTATATGCAAGTTTACCATCATAATAATGTTACTAATTGGTTGCAACCATGATTTTATGTACTGCATTTCCTCGTGTAGTAATTTAATGCATGTGCATCGTGTCAGTTGCAGCCAAGAAGGGCAGTTCAGATCGTCCATTTGTTGGAATACAACATTCGCAAATGTTTAAAGGGAAAGAAAGAACACGATGATACCATACAGGAATACAACCATCATGATGTCACGAGATGATACGTTAAGAGTTTTCCTGTCAATTTCAAGTACCGTGCATAGGTAATTATCTAGTTTATAATTACTGTGAATATTGTATGTATAAATATAGAAATTTGCACCTTGACGAGTGAGAATAATGGAGCGAACACGTAATATTAATGAGATGATTGTATATAGGCACAAAACATATGGAAAAATGCAAAACAAATCATAGGTCTCGATTTGTTAATGCTGGGTCAATAATGTAATAAGCGTATACTTTTCACTAAACTGGCCGACATCTTTGTTGGCTGGTTTGACCACGACTTTACAAGAAAGCGTCAAATGTGTATTGTAGTAATTCATCACAGAAAACAATGTGTATTAAAGTAATTCCTCACAGAAAACAGTGGGTATTGTAGTTATTCCTCACAGAAAATAGTGGGTATTATAGTTATTCCTCACAGGAAACAATGTGTACTAAAGCAATTCCTCACAGAAAACAATGTGTATTATAGTAATTCCTCACAGAAAACAGTGGGTATTATGGTTATTCCTCACAGGAAACAATGTGTACTAAAGTAATTCCTCACAGAAAACAGTCTCTCATAGTAATATTAATTCCTTACAGAAAACAATACGCAAATGTTTCAACATTACTGCGATAGTTATCTTTATATAAGAATTTTTTTTTCTTTTTTTCAATTTTAGAAATTGAAACATACTTTGAAATAAGCTTGTTGGGTATCAAAGGATCTAATTCAATTCGGCCTGACGTTTTCTTAGTAATTTTGGCCATCAATTTTATTAAACTCCTATAATTCTCAACAAAAAAAAAGCAACTGTGTTCTGAAACAATATCAACTCATTAAATATATTATTTACATATTCTGATTACATGTCCATAAAAACTGAGAAAAAGTGAGCAGTTTTTGAATATATTAAGTGTAACCAAAAATATCATTACTCAGTATATTACCTATGTATTATACTAAATGTTGTTGTTTTTTATTTTCAATTACTTGAGTGCGACTTGATATCATGGACCAGCAAAAGAAAAAAAAAAGTGTTGCAAGAGAATTAATTCCACTAACTTAACATCTGGCTTCTTTTCCAATCAACTTATCGAACGATGAACTTATTTTTCCACTCTGAAAAATGCATATATCAGTGATCTAAATATACTCTAAAACTATATATTTTGACTGAGGTTAAACGATCAGTAATGAAGAGCTCGACTATACTTATCTGCCCAATTACATATGTCTCTTCTTCATCAAGCACTGTTTGTGATGACACTAAAATTACGTAAAGGAAAAAAATTAACTTGTTTTTATATCTATACATATTTTTTATAAATAAATTAATGGCTTGTTCTTATGAAAGTAACACAAGTGTTTTTTATGGTAAAATGCCTAAAAAATCGTACGTACAACAAAAATACAAATGAATGTTAATCAGTTTACCTTTTCTTCATAATTCAGAAGATCCCATATGGGTATCGCACTTCCGGAGATCGTTCTTAACATCAGTCCGAAAACCAATATTTTGGTGTGTAAAGCTGCCATTTTCGAATGTTTTATTTAGTTACTTATTTTTCTCGTTGCCGAAACTTTACGCAAACGTGATTGATATTTATAGGTCGATTGAAACCTATTTGTAAATAATTTGTTAAAATTTGTTCAGTAGCTTCAAGACACAAGAAACGAAGACAAAAACAGATACGAAGTTTCCAAATATCTTACAACAGAACTCTAGAACGTGTACTCCACGCTGTTGTTACGTATTTTTGTAAGACTAACCGAAACTGAAACTATAAAGTTTTGAATAATAAGGACTAACTTCAAGCGTGTGTGATTTAAATTCAGCTCATCAGAAAAATGACTACAGCGGGCACGTGCTAATTTGTACTCGAACAGCTGGGTTTTAGTCGGAATGCAGCTACTGCATGCGCTTATATTTGAAACGTGATAGCACGACACTATGCAGGAAACAAATCAGATTGGATACCGCTGCTAAAGGTCGGATGGGGAGGTACTCGTGGGATATGAGTACAACTTTGCATACCTCACTTCAGTTACCACCGGGAAATACCAGTTTTTTTAATACTCCCATATACTAAAGCGGATTGGTAATCATCTAGAAATTTTTTATTGTAGAGAAACAGGTTCTTAGGTATAGATTGAATGCCTGTTGTTGGTTTTTTATTGTTGTTGTTGTTGTTGCTTTTATAATATATATATATACATTCTAAATTGCTTGGATAAACAGATAACCTGACGTTGGAAGAATCTGCCAGAACTGTTTGTATACAGAAAATACAGTAATATCTTTACATCAGATAGGTGGAAGCAAAATGGCGTATTATCAACACAACTTTCCCGTTGTTATCTGTGCAGTACAAACAGTTCCTGCGGTACCTACTATTCTTCACAATTGTGGAAACTGTTTTGAAATAGATAGTTGACTAAACACAGATAAACGAAATAGCTGCAAAGATAGTAGATAGACAGATAACAGACAGGGCTTACGTTGATAAATAACTTGATGCATACAAATGTTAACAGATAGACAGAAGAGAAAAATAAATAGACGTAGACGTTTGGTTTATATATACATGCATGTACAGACGTGTAAAGATGGGACTGGGGTTGGTAGATTTCTGGATTTCCGAGCTGGCGAGCTAGGTTCGATTTGTCTCTTTAAGCTGTGGGTGCCTTTTAAGAGTGACAGTCAATTCCTCAGCGTGGATAGTGGGTAGTAGGGTGCTGCTAACTGGTTGCCTTCCAACAGGTGAACGATGGAAGATAGCCTTAGTAACTTTGCTATAAATACAAATATGGGTAATTATACTTAAACAGTCTTGTGCGATAGCTACTTCATTGTTGTGTTCATTTATTACATTAATGTACAGCTGAAAGAAATTTTTACACAACCTAAGGAGTTTAAAATACAGTAAAACAAAAATTATATTGCCAGAAGTGTTGCATTAATACTCAAACGCTAAAGAAAACAAAATCCAGATAAACCTTGCATCTTATCATGAGGAGCATACTCCATAAAACTTAAAGTAACACCGTAAGTTATACATCAATTTCATTGCAATATAAGTTCATTTTAAACAACTTTTTTAACTTATACTTGTATTCAGGGTTTCACTGCTAAGTAACTAGTTGTTAAGACATGGGTTATAAGTGCTTTATATCTTGTATCGTTTTAACTCGTTGTGAACTTGACATTAACAGGACCGATTAGTGTTATTAAAAAAAACTATATTAATTGCTGGAATTCTAGAACTATCATTTTTTAATTTACTTGAAACGTGTCCTTCACTTATTAACATCTTTTGATATGCTATCATATCACTTAATGAGCGTGTCTTAAAGACTATGACCATCGTGAAAGTTTAGGAAACGGCTTGGGCAGAGTGAAACTTAAGTTAGGTTCGAGTAGATGAGGTTTAAGAGTCTGTTGTAGCGAGTATTGGTTTCTAAGTTAGCGAGTTTGTCAGTCAATTTGTGTGTCACTGTTAGCCAGTTAGTCATTTAGTTCAGTTTTGTAAATATTTAGTTTGTATTTCAACTGAGAAAGAACAGATATATGAGAAAATGATATATATAGATATATGAGAGAAGCTAGCAAGTAACTAAGATATTATCTTAGACTCTACTGACAATGTGAACTTTGGTATATCAGTGAGCGTTAGTTAAGCTAACAGAAAAAATATATAGTAGAAAAAAAATATTTTTTTGCTATTTTTAAGTGCACTAGGCTTTCCTTTTTCTTACCAAATAATAATACAAAGAACACGTCAAATAATATTTGTTTATTTGTTTGCAATTAAGCACAAAGCTACACAATGGGCTATCTGTGCTCTGGCCACCACGGGTATCGAAACCCGGTTTCTAGCGTTGTAAGTACGCAGACATACCGCTGTGCTACTGGGGGGGGGGGGC